AAATCTGCAAGCCGACAACAGGCAGCTGTACAGGCAATATATTACACATAAGCGGATGTGAAGACGTTAAAACTTATACGTAGGCTGCTTTTTAAGTTTTGCGATTAAGCAATAATAAGTATTGCCAAATGAATTTTTACATTTCTGTTCGAAATTTTGCTATTTTGTAGCATAAATGTTAGTATATAGTTTATAGTTATAGTTTACTTGCGTTAATTATTTTGTTTACATCAATTTTGAATTGTATCTGCAGAAAAGTGGAAATAAATAACGAACATTTTCGTGCGATGAGTTTTTATAAATTTTGACGCGAACTAACCATAACTTATCTATAGTTCGATATATGGTAAACATTATTTCAAATCCGACAGTTCTGTAAACTTGACTAGGTCCCTAATATTACAGGATGACAGCTCGGTCAGGTCGAAAAGTGTCCCCGAAGATTTCTGATCTCCTAGCTAAAGAAGGGCATTGACACATAAGATGAACCACATCCTCATCATCCTCAGAGCCACAGCCGCGACAAAAGTCATTGTAGAGTAGACCTAGTCTATCCTAGTCATAACATGACTTTCTATTTCGCATTGGCCCGTCAGCACAGAAACCGTGGTGTTGAGCAGGTTTCGCCTTAGTTGAAGTAGCTGCCTAGTGAGTTTCTTGTACTAATTAGACCAAGTCAACCTAGATATCTGACAATGGTGTTCATAAGCCCAGTATTGTTTGGCTACGCTCAGGTGTTGCAGCAGCTCGTCTGCCCTGCATTTGCCTGAAATAATCCTATGACCAGGAAATGAATTGAACCTTAACACACCTAAGTAGGTCATTAAGGGAAGCACGACAGTTTTGAGTTATGATTGATGCAAAGAAAAAGTAAAAAAAAAAAAAATACGACCAAGGTGGCTCAAAACATGTCTACGAAAACATGACAGATGACGAAGCATGGATCTACGCCTATGAGCCCGAAACAAAACATAAATTCACTAAACAGAATCCGGCAGAAGTCGTCCGCGGACGGAACAAATCCTAACAAATAGTTCGCAAGTTTTTCTAAAAAAAAACGATAATGTTGCAACTGTACTACTTGAAAAACGAAGAATGTTCAATGCTGAATAGTAGACAACCACTTGTTTATTGTTTACCAGAACTCTTCGGAGAAATGAAGAAAACCAACCGTCAAAGAAACATTATCCTTCTCCACCACGGCAATGCTAGCTCCCAGATACCAGCTCAAACAAAAGAGTTTTTCAGCACTCAAAACGTCAAATTGATGATGACCCAACAACATTTTCTTGTTCCCAAACATTAAAAGAAAAAATATATGGGGAGCGTTTGTATACGTTCAAACAAGTTCTTGAGACATTTAATACTTTCATATTGGTGATACCAGCTTCAGAGTGACCAAACTTTTTCAAAAATTGGTTTAATCGAATGCAAACATGTATTGATCATTACAGAGAATATTTCGAAAAACAATGAAACCATTTTTACTAATTAATCACTGTGTTTTCATTGTTAGTCGCAAGACTTAAAAGGCAGCCCTCGTATAAAAAATACAGATAATAAAAAAAGAAACAAAAACAGGAAAAAAAATAACAGGAAAAATAGTTAGTTATGACTTCATAGATATTTGAATACCCTTTACACAGACAGTTTTATTAAAATTATATTTTTTATTACTTAAAAACTTAAATTTTTATTACTGATTGCATGTGTTTTTAAATTCACCTGCTTAGTTCCACATCAAATCCTTCACCAAATGTAATTTAAATAGTAATTTGCAAGTAATATAACAAATATGAGAGACAGACATAAGATTAACTTACAGTTCGTTCTGTAAGTTAATCTATATGTTTACGGCGCTACAAGCATTTTGACAAATGAATATAATTTACATTTGCAATAGTGTGAAGTTGCATAACAAAGCTATTAGAAGATGAAGAAATAATTGAAACCCGAAATACGTAAGAGATTCAGTATGCTTTAGATAGAGATTTAAAAAGTTTGTCGTGAACTAAAACACTAATGCACTTGTGAAGTGCAACATACGAAATTTAAAATTGTCATAAGCGACATAAAGAATTCAGGTTTGGTACCAATATTTTGCTTGGCACTCGCCTAAAGGCGTACATTGATTCTGCTGTTAATACGGCTTAAAATTGTGGTACTGCAATAGTATTGATACTTTAACTTCTTCTCTTGTCAGATAGGCTGCCACTGTCATCCATAATATGTTGTCTACTATACGGCGTAGAATATAGTAGAAAATAGTAAATCTTTGGGAAATAGTAATTTTTACAATTTTTGGAAAATAGTAAATAGAAAGAGAGTTTTATATTACAATAATTTATAGATGTATGTTATATCAAGTCTTTCATTATTGGCATCTGTATTTAACATGTCAATCAATTTAATGTCAATTTTCAAATACTACTCATTCCCATAAATTATTACCAATTATATATTTTGTACAAAAAACTTATGATAAAATAAAAGATACATTATTGCCAAGATCTTTCTTTATTTCGGATTTATCGAATAGTTTTTTTTTAGACTAAAAACTCTAAAATAGCAGTTAGAATTTAAAAACTATTAGATAATACCTCTACTAACCGTAACCAACCTTTATGATAATTCTTTTTTATGTTACCCTATATTATTTGGAATTACCTAGTTAACATGAAGGTATTTAAAATAGATATTGCATTTTTATGCTCAATTTTTGCAAAATTCAACTTTGTGCAGTTTGTCTTCCAAATTTTCTATGGACTAAATTTTTTTTTTCATATTAAGTTAAAAGATAATCCAGTTTACCAGAAAATTATTCAATTCGTTATTGTCTTTCAAGTCTTCTTTTTATTCAATACAGTCAAACTTCCATAACTCGAAGTACTATTTTGCAAAGAAAATATTCGACTTATGAAGACTTCGAGTTAGAGAATATTTTTATTTTTTTTTATTTTTGAAAGAAACTAGAATCAGATTTTAAGATATTTATTTGAAATCAAAAATATAGCACAGAAGTTATAGTGACGTTAAATATTCAGAAGTTAGGGTTTAGTACTTCAATTTTTTTCCTATTTTCAATACTTAATGCAAACTTTTATAGTGATAATCAGTTGTAGTATTATTCGTTTGCAAATTAAACTTCAGAATTTTGAATGAGTCTTCTACTTTATTCTTGGAAGGCTGATGAATAATTTCATCCTCTGAACCCTCATCATCACTTTCCGTTGCACTTAGATTCGCATTCACTACAATGAGATATATATATAGAACTATAATGCTTAATAATATCGTAATCTGTAGCAAAGCTTGATTTACAAATTTCATTGTCAAGCTCAATATAATATAATTGTTAAGAGTTGCATTGGATGTTATTTTATTTACTTTAATTTTACTTAGCTTTTACATAATTCACGGTCTTCATCAATGTTATTCAAAAAAATTAAAGAAATGTCCTGTTCATGCCATGTAGGAAATTGGTCAAATCCAGATTTTTTGAAGCAGTGCGTGTTTGTCAGTCTTTGTCAGCGACTGGAATTTGCACAAAGAAGCAACATAAGATAAAATTCGACTTATAGAATACACATTCCCATATTCCTATTGCCCCGTGACAATGTTTTTATTTGAGTTATGGAGAAATTGATGGAGTTATAGAAGTTCGACTTATGGAATTAGAATTGTATGTAATTTGCTCTCTAAAACCCTGTTGCATTTTTTTTAGTTCGAGTTATAGAAGTTCGAGTTGTGGAAGATTGACTGTATATGAAATATAAGTAGAAGAAACATTTTATTCTATTTAGAGTGATCATTTTTGGTTTTTTCGTCAATAAATGCATGTAGTTGATCGTTCTTTACTTAGAAAGTTCATTATATCTAGTATTTGATATCTGTTATCTCGTTTTTTCTTATTATTTTAGGTTTCCTATTGTATTCATTAATCATTTATAACTTATTTTTTAGTTTGTATTTCATTATTTATTTAATAAAAATATCTATGATTACAAACAAAGCACAAAGTGCTTAACTTCCATTTACAAAATCCTTCATAAACTCTATTTCAGAAAACAGAGAAGATTTTGTTCTTAAGAAAATAATTATTTGTTTTGAAATAAAAACTTTTAAAAAGAAAAACAACTGCAAAAAATACTATAAATTTTAATTTAAGAGAAGAGGAATTTTTCACACTTTTCATAAACGAAAATGTTTTTCCCATGGTTAAATGCAAGGGAATTTCAAAAAAATGCAGTAAATACAAATTAAATGGGATAAAAATGGTAAGAACAAAGAAAACTCTTCCATGGTGTAAGGACAAAAAGCATATGAAAGAGGGTTTAAAAAAATATTAAAAACGAGTAAAGAAAATAAACAAATAAAAAAGGAAAAAAAAAACAAATAAAATAAAGAAAATCGAGAATGGAATTACAAAAATTTAATGAAAAAAAAACAAAAATAATGGAAAAAAATTCAAATGTTCAGTGAAAAAGCGAAATGACGTACCTTGCACACGAATTTATAATCCCAAAAGCACTGTTGCAGTGATCCTGTTTTTTTTTTGGTTTTGTGTTTTTTTTTTTTGCACTTTTTCAATGTAATTTTTTGCACTCTGCTTTGTTTTTAATTGTTTTCATATGAAGTAAGAAAAAAAAAATACGGAAAAAAGGATGCAGAAACGTCAAGAAAATTACAGAACTTTTTATGGTAAAAACGACAGCGAAATCATTCTAGAAAAGTAAATAAAAACACAAATTAAATATAAAACTCGGCTTTACGTAAAGGGGCACACTAAATTCTTTACACAAAACAAAAACAAAAACAAAAAAAATTAAATAATCAAAAAATAAAAAATTGTGAAAAAAATTCTGTTA